TTTAAACACTAACGATATTGGTAAAAGTACCATGGGACTACCACGATGATCTTTGAAGAATTGCATGTAAATACCGTTATACATGAATTTCAGTACCATGGTGCTCCATTTTATTAATTGATCTTTAATTCTCAGCTACGTTTTATTTAAACATCATCCGTAGAAAAAGTTGAAATAGACATAAATGTGTCAATGTCAACATAAAGTAAGAATATGGAGTTTTAAGATTTGTGTGGAAAGCTGGCTCAGAAAATTTGGTCTAGATGAGAAATAGTTGACTTATTGAGATCTATGACTTGATTGCAGATTAAAAGTCAAGACTGTATCTTGATAAATCTGAGCATTGTCTGAGACTTATCTGAAAAACATCTGGAGACTTGAGCAAAACTTTTCATTTGCTCTTCATTTAATCCCAATTTTTCTGTCCTATGGGTCAGTAAAATCATATCACATGCCTTCAGCTGGAATATCATCATGCGTCTTTCTATGAAGTGTTTGATTGTGTAAAAGTGTTGCTTAAAACAATGTTACATAAAAGTAGCATTTAACATTTCCTTTAAAACATTTAGTTCATATTAGTTCTCCCTGCAAATATTTATTTGCATAATACAATAACATTACATTTACATTTTACATTTACATTTAGACATTTAGCAGACGCTTTTATCCAAAGCGACTTACAAATGAGGACAATGGAAGCAATCAAAATCAACAAAAGAGCAATGATATGCAAGTGCTATAACAAGTATCAGGTAGCTTAATGCAGGTTTTTTTTAAATCATATAATAAATAAAAAAGAAAACAGATAGAATAGAAAAAGAATAGAGCAAGCTAGTGTTAAAGGCCTTTTTTGCTTTTGTTAGTCAGAAGTCAGAAAGTCAGAATTATAATTGTATAATAAATAAAAAGAAAACAAATAGATAGAATGCAAAAAGATTAGAGAAGCAAGTGTTCTTTTTTTTTTAAAGAAAAGCAAGCAGTTAGTAAATAAATAGAGTGCAAGTCTAAAGTCTAAAGTCTAGTTTTTTTTAATATAAAGAATAGAATTAGAATAGAGAATGCTAGAGTTAGAGGGTCAAATAAAGATGGAAGAGATGTGTTTTTAGCCAATTCTTGAAGATGGCTAAGGACTCAGCTGCTCGGACTGAGTTGGGCC